CTTCTCACTGGTGACAGGTGACAGGATGAGGGGAAACAGCTTTAAGTTGTGTCACGGTAAGCTTAGGTTGGATATCAGGAAACACTTCTTTACAGAAAGGGTTGTTAAGCACTGGAATAGGCTCCCCAAAGAAGTGGTTGAGTCACCATCCCTGGATGTGTTTAAAAACCATTTGGATGTGGTGCTTAGGGACCGTGATTTAGTGAAGCGTTGTTGGGGTTAAGGTAGTATGGTTGGGTTGTGGTTGGACTCAATGATCTTTAAGGTCATTTCCAATCTGAGCAATTCTGTGATTCTATTCCCCATATATTTTTAGGAAAATAAAAAAGGACACGTTTTTCAGTTTAAAAAAGTACTGTTCCCAAATATGTTGGAGTGAGTTGTCTTTTGGTTTCAAGTCTGAACAAATTTTACAAGTTTTTTTTTTTTTTTTAATACTTATCTTCAACTAGATGTGTTTCTGAGACAGGCCTGCTGATTGAAATCCTTGAGAAAAAAAAAACAACCCTCAAAGTTGCCACTGATAATAGAAAGCATTGGACTCTGACCTTAAAAACTAAATTAGACATTCCTCTTTTGAGATCCTGTCCTTGGAGAGAAAAATAATCTGTAAGTTTGAATAAATGCAGTTGATAGGATACAGGATGCAATAGCATGGGCCTCTTTTGTCAAAGCAAAATGCGAACAATAGAGTAGAAAGAGCAATACAGGAGAAGTCAGCTCTTTTTTGAGGAAGTAGAGTTGAATACCTCTGTAATCTGTCAGTTTACTGACTTCTAATCATATTTATTCTACTGTTGAAAAGGAAATAGAGAAAAGGAAAGTATAGGGGAAGCAGTGGTTCGGAAGGGAAAAAACAACCAAAAAATAATCCACGAAACCAACCAAACAAAATCCCAGATAATATTTGAATGAAGTTAATTATGGAACATGTGATGGTTTCTTTTAATTGGAAAAGGGAGACACTTGCCTTAGTGACTACAGTGTTCAATTCCATACCTGGAATTTTGGATGAGTGCACGCTGCTGATTCACCCTACATTAAGTACTGTCTCTGACCTTTGGAATTTCAGTTTCTAGAGCAAAGGTGTGAGGTTGCATAGCACAAGTTGAGAGAGTGGATGATGGATGCGATAAAATAGGCTCTATGTTCCACATTCAGCAAACTACTTGTGCATGCTGAATTTGCTTCCGAACCTGTCAGATTTATGTATGCTGTGCAGTCATTCTGACATGTCCCAGTGGTGCTGAATTTGCTGCATATGTGCTGCAAACAAAGTAATGGTAGAAAAATGGAAACCCTGCCTCATAGCATACGCTTGTTCACTTTTCCAGCTCTTCCTTCTCAGTTTCATTTGCATTGAATGCTTTTGAATTTTCAGGATGTATTTTAATTCCCCAAATCTTTCTCAGCTTACTCTTTTGCAGTTGATAGCAGCTATTTTTTATAGCTGTTTCTTATGATGGCATTACAGTTACTGATACAAAAATTTTGGGGGGAAAACAGATTGTGCTAAAATTTAACTATCATAATGGGGAAAAAACCCCAACTTGTGATAAACGTTGTGATAAATATAGCTCTAAGTGTTTTTTGCCTCTTTACTGCTGGGATCTCCTATCGATTACTGGTGTCAAGGCTGCTTTATTCTAATCCTTGTTTTTAAACTGAAATACAAAGAGATTTTCTAAGCCTTTTAGAATGATGAAAGTAAGGACAGTTGGACACAATTAGATAGGGGCCAGAATGGAGTTGTGATGTTTTAACATTGTTGAGGTGGTAAATGAAGTAAGCAATTAAGCGTATTGTGAACTACACTTAGAAAGAGATTTCTGTGTTAAAACTGACTTTTTATAATTGCTTGATTCTACAAGAATATGATATTTTGCAGCTATGTAGATGGTTGTTTTCTTTTGAAATGTCAGTTTCCTTATGCATTTAGAATATACAGTTAATGATGATTACTATTCTTCTGCTGTGAGAAGGGAAAGAAGGATGAAATGAGGCTTCCATTCAAGGTTGCACTGCAGTCACTGTCACATGAATCAAAATTTTTTCTCTTCAGGTTTCTGTGGTGAGATCTGCTAATGAAGTTCTATGAAAAGCTTAAGAAGTTATATAATCTGACTTCAGAAACTGACATCTGTAGGTTTCATTCATGCAGAAGCTTCTGCTGAAACATGAGATTGTTCTTGGTAAAAGGCAAATGACCAATAGCAGATGTAAAAAGGAGAGGAAAAAGAGAGTAGGTCCAGGCAAGCACCTCGCCATGTATACCTGAATTTTATAAAGAATGTACAGCTGAAATATTCCTGAACTAGATACTTCTATACTTCTAATAGACTTTTATGGCACTTCTTTCTGAGACTTTGCATTTTTGGACACAAGTACTTTTTTGTGTTTGTTAGCAGTTTACATGTAGATGATTAAACCTAGTATCTGTATAGGGAGTAAAAACAGTGAAATGTCATCTTCTATTTAAGTGGCATGAAAAAGTGAACAACATAAAAATCTTTTGTACGGGACTTGTCAATCTGCTTGAGCTTTCACAAAAGCTTTACTGCATTTTTTTCTGTCACATCCTTTTCAGTAGGGTTGGCAGAAGGGTGTTAAGTGTCTCATTACTTCTTCATTTGGTGGATTTTTGGAGGTGAGGAGAAGGGAAATGGAGGAACTGTCAAACAAAGAATAGTAATCAAGTGAGTTATTCCTCAGCGAGCTACTTTTTATTATTTCAAAAGTGACGAGAGTTAGCTGAAATTATAAGCCAATGTTTGACTTTGGAGAAGTTATTTTGGTGGAAGATTTTATTTAAACTGTTACTCAGAAAGGATTCTATTTGAAAATGTATTAAAAAAAAAACCTGTTTGAAACAGTTTAAAATTTAAAGGTAAACCCTAGGTGTTTTGTGTTAGAGGAATAGGGAAGAAATTTCTAGTTTTAGATGGGGAGAGTCAATTACAGCATGTTTTCTGAAATGAGTTGGTGATTGCATCAGCCCACCAAAAGAAGTTTTTTTCCAGTAACTTCTTGTTTCATGCTGGGTAGATAATTGCCTGCATATAGAAATATAACTGCTGAGTCTACAAGTTGTTAAGTATGTTAAGAGTAATGGGAGGAAAGAAACACACTAACATTTGGGTCCGTTAGGAAACTTTGCAAGCTTGCAAACTTTGTTTCTAAGCCTCTTGTACTAATTATGCTGTTAAAAATTATTTTCTTGACTGGAGTTTTAATTGCCGGATGTAATTTTGTCATGTCTATGGCAAATATGCAGAACATGGCTGCTTAATTAAGAACTCATTCAATGTGATACAGGCTTGGAATGATATATTCTTTTTTTATTCTTTCTTCACGTCTCATTTTGAAGGATAGCAGCATGCCTAGCCCTTCACAAAAAAAGTGAAAGTCTTTGGAAGTCTTGGTTCCTTGTCTTTCAGATTCAGTATTTGTTCACGGTATTAAATTTGTGATGTACGCTCCTGCTGTCCTTTTACCTAATGATTTTCTGTATTAATTACAGCGTTAGTATGTACAGCAAAGTTGGAAAAAAAAAAAAAAAGTCTATAGTGTGAAATTATATTGTGAAATCAGAGGTGCTGTTCCAAAATTTCCTTTTACTCTTGTTTTCTAAGAGTAGATGTGCTGTTTGGGATCTGAATTCTGAGATTGTCAGTGGCTATAGGAGTAGCTTATATTGGACTTTAAAATTTTACAGATATTTGAAACAACTTCTAAATGCAACAATTCCCTGTCCTCTGCTGTCTCTTTTCTGTGTTTTGTCCAAGCCAGAGTTGAATGTGGATGATACTGTATGTGAAACATAAGAATTTGCTGTTTTCCATTTTCTTAATTCCTGTCTGTTTGCTTTTTGCAGCCTGCAAGCCTCTTTCCACCAATTTATTGCTATGTCTCATGCATATTTCTTGTGGATGGTTGGAATTATTAGAGATAAGACTTAGGATATTATTGTTAGTGTGTAATGTAAAAAAAGGAAGAATGGATGACCTTGGAGAAATGTTTGTGTATACAGGGAAGGACAGTCCTGTGCTTTGTTTCGTATTTATGCGTGTATCTGTGTTTTGTGATTGTTGCTAAATGAGATGAAGTTACTGATTTATAGTTTTGTTTGACTCTAACGTTGTGAAATTGATTTGTTTATTGGAGAAGTTTCTTTTTAAGCTACTGTGTTGCAGTTTTGCACTTTGAGGGATAAGAATACTGCATCAGTTAACTTGTGAATCGTGATTGTCCATGCTGTGTTACTGTTGCTGTTTATGGGGTCAGGAGAAAATGAATGAGATTTAAATCTCATTATTCCAGTGCTCTGCAGCTTTAATGTGTTTATTTACTATGTGGTTTATTTCTTATCTCTACAAGTAGCAGAGCCTAAAAGGCTCTTCTTTTTCTCCCTCTTTTATGTTCTGTGTATCTTGGTATGGTTTTCCTGATTTTCATGCTGCCTGAACAACTAACCTACAATCATAGATCATAACAAGGCATTCTAGTAACAGCACATGTTGTTCTTAATTTGTATCTCAAAGATTCTTCTTCCTTCAACGTTTAGGAATATACATTTCCCTGTATATATTTGCAGACAGTGATCATGTTAAATTGAATTGAGAAGATTAGTACAGCAGAACATTGCTTGTTTCAGTTCAGTACAAGAATTATGATAGAATTTGAAGGTTTTTTTTTTTATTTTAACAGGTTTTTGTTCATTTCAGTCCTTTGTGCTAGCATATGAAGTCAGGATAGTTACTGTGAAGCGGTAAAGATTCTAAAAGTGTGTAGCAGTCTTATTTGATTCTTTTTTAAGACTTAATCAGTAAGAAGACGTTTGAGGTTTTTTCTTTTTTTAATGCATTGTAAATGGCTTAGGTAGGATATGTTTTTGTACAGATAGCATCCTACAGGCAAAATCACACTCGTATAGCCAGTTTAATTCATCAGAATTTTTTTAAACAATATTGACATGAAAATTCTACATTTTGTCCTACCAGTTATGAGCAAGGAACACTGAGAATTATTCCTTGGAATGAGCAAAAACATCGTGAAGAAGACTGGTGTGAAAAAGCAGACTGCAGGTGAATTTAAATAAATAAAATGAAGACGTTTTGTGATATTAAGATAATGTTTATTTACTAATTCTTAAAATGTGTTAAATACCCAGTGAGACTTGCTTCAAATTTTCACACACAGTTATTTGTGTTTTGAACTTTCTTAATGAGACTGAAAAACAAAACACATTAACTTAGAAGTATTAAGTTCACTGTGATTGTGATGAGTATCTTACAGAAAGCTGTAAACCATAACATATTCATTAATGCTGCTATAATTAATGTAACTGCTTTTTTGTGTGAAAAATAGAAAGCAAAACTTGGGCTTATCTGTGTCTTTAGTAGAGAAGATTCTTTCTTTTGTGATCCATTTCATGTTTGGAATCTCTTAACAATTACATCATTGAGAAAAATAAATGCTGTGATTGGCATTTGATTCTTATATTATTGGTGCATTTGGCTTTAGAATGACCAGAAATTTTAGGAAAACCTAGTTTGGAGGGTAGGTGGGGGGAAAGGCAAGTAAACATATATTTTAACATGTATTTACTTCTTTTTAAGGACAATTGTCGAACCAACTTTACAAGATGAAAGCGAATTTCTGTATGAATCACAGCCTGAATTACTGAAATACAGAACTACTGAGCTTTCAGTAGAGCTTGTAACAGACTGGTATTTGAGCAGAGCACAGGAAATTGAAAAATACGCCATGCAGGTGAGAACAGCAGTGAGGAAATGATGGCTGTGTCAGATGATCACTATTCTTCAGTGGAATTCTGTCTTACTGAGTATTAATGGGATGATTTTCCCAATGTTTTCTGTGAAAGCCAAATAATTAATTCATAAGAATGAACAGGAAGCCAATAGACTGACTTGATTTACCATAACAAACAATAACACTTTTGTAGTCTAAGAAATATGTTTACCATTACATTTTATGTCTGTGATTAAATAAAGGGAGGGAATGTTGTGCACTGTGTATCAGGAAACATATTTTATTATATCACAGGATACTATGCCATATGTAGTATGGATATGTGGCACTGTCACTTGCCAATATGTAGTTCTGTCGTCGTTGCTTCCTGGCAGGTGTTTGTGGGATTATTGGGAAGCTTATTTTTGTTTTGTTTCATTCATATTTTAAAAATGTGTGAAACTCTGTGGTACAGATGAGCAGCGTGAGTAGAGCTCATCACTTGTGCTCAGGTAAGTTATTGCCTCTAAAACCAATAAGTAGCATGAAAAGAAGGTGGAATGGAAGTACCATTTGTAAGTTAGTTCTTTTATTTTTCAAGTTTGTGGTTCTTTAGGTGTCTTTAATCGTAATTCCAGCCTACATTGCCTTCTTAGAAGTCAAAACAGACTCTTTTTCAGTGATTCAATATGCTTTTATGTGAAAAATCTCATATGTGAAATACAACTCAACAGTGAAAATCAGTAATTCAGGGACAACTAGAAAAGTTGTATTACATACAGACAGAATCATAGAATGGCTTGGGTTGGAAGGGATCTCAAGGATGACCAAGTTCCAACCTTCCCTGCCACAGGCAGGGCTGCAAGCCACTAGACCAAGTATTAGATCAGATTGCCCAGGTCCCCATCCAACTTGGCCTTAAGCACCCCCAAGCACGGGACATTCACAACCTCTCTGGGAAACCTGTTCCAGCACCTCATGAATCTTTCAGTAAAAAAACTTCCCCCTGACATCTAATCAAAGTCCATCTTCCTTTAATTTACAACCATTTGCCTTTGTGCTTTCTGCCTGTGTACCTGTGTAAACAGTTGATTTTTCTCATGTTTATAAACTCCCTTTAAATATTGAAAGGCCATGAAGAGGTCTCTCCGTGCCTTCTCCTTTCCAGGGTGAACAAGCCCCATTCCTTTAGCCTGTCTTCATAAGAGATGTGCTTCAGCTCTTGGGTCATATTCGTGGCCCACCTGTAGACCGTCTCCAAAAAGTCCACATCTCTCCTGTGTTAGAGGCCACAGACTTGAACACAGAACTCCAGCTGGGGCCTTACAAGGACCTCCCTTGCTCTGCTGCCACTTCTTTTCTAATGGAACCCAGGATACCATTGGTCTTCCATGCTGCAGGTGCACACTGCTGGCTCACGTTAAGTTTTTCATCCATTAGAACCCCTATGTCCTCAGTAGGGCTGTTCTCAAGGATATCTTCTCCCAGTTTGTATATATACCTTGGATTACCTCAACCCAAGTGCAAGACCTTATACTTGTCTTTGTTGAACCTCATTAGGTTCACAATAGCCCACTTTTCAGATTTATCAAGGTCCCTCTGGGCAGCATCCTTTCTTTCTGCTGTATCAGTTACTCCTCTGAGCTTGGTGTTGTTGTCAAACTTGCTGAGGGTGCACTTAGTGGCATTATCAATGCCATCGATAAAGATGTTAAAAGAGTATTGGACCCAACATGGACCCTGGGGGCAGCATTCATTACCAGTCTCCACTTGGGCCTAAAGCCATTAACCACAACCCTCTGGTTGTGACATTCCAACCAACTCCTTATCCTCCTAATAGTCCACCTTTCAAATCCATGTCTCTGCAGTTTAGAGATGTATGCGTAACTTAGAGATGTATGTGTAACTTCAGTCATTTAACTGATAAATTTAGTTTCAAGTAATTCTTTATAACCCATGTAGTGAGTTGAGCTACCTTATTGCTGTACAATCTATGGAATAAATAAAAAATTAGTATTTTCCTACGTCATGTGCATCAGTAGGACATGTGGTGCAAAAGGTCTATGACATCATCCACCAAGACTAAGCATTTTATATGGTCTTATAAAGCTGAGAATAGCAATCCATATTGGAATAGGTAGGCAACAAAATATTCTAGGAACTTAGAATTGCCCATTAAACAAAGAGAATGTAAACTAGACTTGAAGTTATTTTTTGGCAAATGGTTGTTGAGCAGGATTTTTAATTCTTTTCTAGGTGGATTGTGCTCTGTCCCTTGTTCGTCTTGGCATGGAAAGGAATATCCCTGGTCTGCAGGTGCTCTGTGACAATCTGATCACTCTTGAGACAGTAGTGTATGAGACTGATGGTGATAGAACCTTAACTTTGAAGGAACTAGTAGAGATGAAAGACATTGAAAAGCTAAGACTGCTGATGAAGAATGTAAGTATTTTGAAGAGATCAATAAGTATGCCTTAATTTGCGGTAGTTAAGGCTACCGTAGATTGCATGTGCATAAAGATGAACTAATGTCTGACTTTTTTCTAATGAACCTCCATTTTTAATTCAACCTGACACTAAGATTTGGTGTTTTTTTCTTTGTTTTTGCTTTTTAAAAACAAAAATTGAAGATCAGATTCTGAATTGTAAGCACGAAATGGAGTGTCAGTAAATCTAATAAATCCAATCTTGTGAAAGCTATGAATTGGTTTTTTTCATGGCCCATCTTAAAAGATCTTCAGTGCAGCTATTGATTATCATTAACCATTAGCAAAAAAATTTAATATTCACCTCTGCTGCATTTGTTACTTTTTTATCACTGTGTTCGGCCTGTGTATGGTGTTTCAGAACAGTAAAAAATATGTCTTTTATGGAAAGGTTAGAAGATACCTACAGATAAAATCAGGCGTGAAATACTCAAATATGTAAATTCTGAAGGGAAGAACTTGTATACTTATTCTTGCATACTGAAAGTAATGCTACTCTAAGGATGCAAGCAAGTCTCTCATTCATCCTCAAGTTGTAGGAAGGCAATGAGATCTTGACTTTCATCAAATACAGGGTTTTACTCATGTACAACTTGGTGTCCTCATGTCATCAGTAGCAGACAGATAATTTGTTGTTTCAGTATTGTGGTCTGTGCAGCAGTAGTGAAGGTCAGCCTTCAGCTGTATTTTCTGATAGGTACAGAGATTGTTTCATTGACCAAAATGTTACTCCCTCTGTAACTCACTGTGCTTTCCAGTCCTCTGATGAAAAATATGTGAAGAATGTTTATCAGTGGATGATCCCTTTTCTTCACCGCTGTGAAAATCAGTCTCCTGGTCTGGCAAATTCACTCTTTAAAGAATATTTAGTGACATTAGCAAAGGAAGACCTGACTCTACCTCTGAAGATTTTCCAGAATTCAAAGCCTGCTGTGAGTATACCACCATCCTTATGATTCTGCTGGTTTCTTGGAAAATTCTTGTCCTGGAATTCAAAAATAGAGTTAGAGATTATCTGCTTTAGAAAACAAACCATGTTTTTTCCCTTCCTCTTGGACTCAGCATTTGTAATGTTTTGGAAAACATAAATCTCCCTTTCTCTTCTGAATGCAAAGAATGTACTGGATTCTGCTGTAGGAGATGAGTTCAGTGATTGTAAGTGGAAGGTGTGTTCTATGTGATCAGTTCATGCTTCTTGTACAGTTATAGCATGTGCAATTGTTTTATGTTTTTGCATGCTATTGTGTGTTGTAAATGTATGGACAGAAATCAATTAATGAAGAAAAATTACAGCTTTTTTATATATATTGATATTGTTGTATGTGTTAAACAGACCTGACAAATGTTTGCAGCAGTTCCCTTCTTCTGATCTGAACCCTTTTCACTTCTGAAATTCAGGCAGAGTATAATGAAATACCAATATTTCTTCAAGTGTTGGCAGTGTAGGAAAGTAGCTGAGTTGTTTCAGATTTTGTAACTTCAGCAATCTTCAGTGTGTTGTTACTAAGGGACTTACTAATTACAATCAGGAGGCAATTATTTACTTGGAGTAAATATGTTTTAAATTCAAAAGAAACTAAACTGTTTAATTAGCTAAAGGAAGCATACAGTGGAACACTTTCTTCTTCCATTAGTGTCAGCAAAAAATTATTCCTGAACAAGACCAGCTTATGATTACAGCACTGGAATGCATTTATAGCTGTGAACGAGATGACCAGCTTGCTCTCTGTTATGATATTTTGGAATGCCTTCCACAAAGAGGTTATGGGTAAGCTTTATCAGCTAATTATTTGTAACTATTTTAGGTGTTAAGTATTGTACTGAAGTAATATTTTTTTAAATATAGTTACTACATCATTAAACAGTATGTAATTTTACTGAAATATTCTGTTCCTGTCTGCATTTTATTGGCTTTCACATTGAGAGTGCACACATGTACGACCTCTGCCAAATAATGTGACAGTAGATGATTTAAAGCAGCTCAGACCAATACTTCTTCTGTACTAGTTTTTTAGGCTTTTATATATTGGTGAATTGAGACCAAACAGGAGTGTTGTTGTATTAGTCTTGCTCACCTAATTACAGTTAGTGGTGTCTTGCACATAAGAGTATATTGCTGCTAACTAGCATGTGAGAGAGGTCTTAGTATGGAAGACCTGTACAGAGGGTAGGTATTGTAAAGGAAATTAAAGATGCAAATAAGAGATATAAGTTATTCTCCCAGTATTTTCAAGATGTAGGAAGGAGAGATCCTGTAAATAGTCTAAGGATAACCTATGTTTTTTTATGGACTGAGGGGGCTATATCAGCTTTGGTTATCTTTCCAGCAAGAAGCAAACTGTTAATTTTTTTAAAGCTATTTGTTTGATTCTAATCAAGGAATGCTTCAAACTTAACCATGCTGTAGAATCATAGTCATTAAGGTTGGAATAGACCTCTAACATGTATAATAATTTCATATCTTTGCAGGCCTGAAACAGATAAAACTAGCAGTCTTCATGATGCAGTAGATGAACTGGAGCGAATTCTGAGGTATTTGATTTTCCCAGAATAATGTATTTTTACATCCTGGCAATAGCCAGGAACTTTGTTATGACAAAAAAGCAGCAAGAGTATCTTGTTTTCAGGAATATCATAATGATTATTTTTAAGATTTTATATCATATGTATTTATATTATATATAAAAATATATATATTTTAGTTACCTAAATATTATAAAACTTCACAAATGTTTTGCTTGGAATATTTTTCAGATATTTTGGAAATTTTTCTGTGGTGGTGGGAAGGTTATTTCTAAAATACCTGGTGATTTTTTTTTTTAAATCTTGACACTACAATATTTTGGTTAAAAAACTAGAAGCTGTGAAGATATTTTGTCATCTTATATTGTTGGTATTCTATATTAACGGAACAGTTTTTTTTTGAGTAGCCAATTAACCAATTGTGATTAATCCATACTGTTACAGACTTTGCAGAGAAGGTTTAGATTTGCAGTATGTTATTTGATAAAGCTTTAAGACTGCTGCAGCAGCTGTGCAGAATTGAAGTGTTTACCATTTATTTGCAGTGTATCAGAGCTGCTGGAGAAACATGGGCTTCAGAAACCTGTTTCATTTGTGAAAGACACAAAGGACAATGCTGAGGAGGCACGGAAGCTGATGATCAGACTGACAAGGCACACAGGTCGCAAGTTAGTATTCAAAAAGGAATTGGAAATAAAGGGGAAAATGACAGTAAGGGAACAGAACAGTACTTAACCTTATAGAGTGTACCTCACGTTTTTATTATGATAGAGAACTGGTGTTTAGACTGAACGTGAAGTGGATAAAACACATTTGTTAAGCTGGTTGTTAATGTGATTAGTGTTTTGGCTGCATTCTGTGCATATGAAAAACTCGTTCTCACTTCAAACTTGCTTCAGTGCATTTGTGTACAACTAGCCTAAAAAACATACTGGCTACAAAATGACAAACTCTGAAGTTTAAATGTTGTAAATGAAGTTCTTTAAAACCTGTTTAATTTTATGGAAAGTGTAGAATTTGTGGAACAACCACCTTTTGGTTTTCATAGAAGCTGTTGTAGCAAGGTAATACATTGCTTCTGTGCATTGTTTCTATCTTTTTTTTTCAGTATAATTTTTCCATTTTTTTTCTGTTTAAGTACTAGTTTTAGCTGGTCTTTTAAGTGTAGATCAATTACTACATAGCAGTTTGCATGAGCGGATAAAAAGGTTGAGTCTTGGTTAAAACAGCCATGGCTACTATTTTTTTTTTTTGGTAACAAGTACAGCAGTTTATGATGATAGGGTAGTATGCAACTGGGGTATGCTAGAAGCATGAAAAATGATAGATTTTCTACATTCTTGTAGAGACATTTTGTTTTGCAAAAGTGAAAGATACCACTTGAGGAAATAACTGCTAGCTGAAACAGTTTGTGTATCTTGAAACAGTGACTTTTTCAATCTTAAGGCAATATCTAAAAACCTTCATAATGATTTCATTGTTATGAATTTTGATAGTACACAGGAAATTTTGTAGCTATCGTAGTTTAACACAGAGCCATGGATCCAGAAGGTGAAGAAACTGAATACCATTCAAATTTCAGGGATAAAATAAGCTTCCTGCTATATTCTCCTTGCACACAGTTATAGAATTATAGAATGGTTTGGGTTGGAAGGGACCAACTGATTAGTTGTTTGCCATTGCCTGCAGTAAACAGCTTTTCAGCGATCATCGTTTGTGGTTAGAAAGTTGTTTTTATCCTATTGTTGGATCAGCAGGAAGATAGCAGTTCCAGCTTTTTGATGTTCTACTGGAAGCTATCAGAACCAACTTGGGGATCTTGATGAGAATTTCTTAAAATCTTTACCTTATTCCACAGAAAACAAATGGAAAAACAGTTTGGGTACTGTGTTGTTGTCAAACAATGTTAACAATTTTAACCTACAGACACTATTTAAATTAAAAGGTAATTAATATTAAAAATGTTAAGTCTTCAATGAGTCATTTTTGATTAAAAAAATCCATTAAAGACTGAAATAGCTTTTAAGAAAGAATATTTTAGCTGATAAAATTATCTACTACTTTTCTTTAAATTTATTGAGGAACAGAATATTTAATTTAAAAAATGTTTGCAGGCAACCATCTGTCAATGAGATGCAGTGGAAAGAATTGCTCCAGGATATGTTAGACATGCAGCAGAAAGTATATACATGCTTACAATCAGATGCTTGCTATGAGGTGAGTTTTATTTCCCAAGTAATCTACTAACTCTAATTTTTTATAGCTGCTTACAAATGTAAATACATTTCAAGTGTAATTACTTGGTTGTCTATGGACAGTTTTATGGCATTTTCATTGGCCACAAACTTGCTGTGTTAATTCATTTTATCAAAAGCCTCTCTGATAAATATCCTGTGTGTCTTTTACTGGAATTGAACTTATTTTCTAAGATGTGTCTACTGTTTGGGGCTTCTAACGTCCTAATATCGAAGTGCGTTTTCAACTTCTTACATCCCATTAACTCCTCGGAATGTAGATGTAAATTTCTCATCTCCTATTTTCTGAATTCATGCTGTAAATCTTTATGCTGGAAGCAGAAATAACTAGATACTGGTTACTAGTTACTTTTAGTTTTACTTAATAAACACAAAAATTTGGGGAAGTTCTTGCGAAGATGCTTTCATTCAAAGGAATTGTTACATAAAAAGCAGATTGGCTTATTGAAACTGTTGTTTCTTAGCATTAAATTATCATTCTTTCTTTTAGATTTTCACAGAAAGTCTTTTGTGCTCAAGCAGTATAGACAACATCCACTTAGCTGGACAAATGATGCATTGCAGTATTTGGTCAGTGGATCAACCAGTTTCATCTAAAGGGAAGCCACAATACAGAGTCAGCTACAAAAGAAGTATAGAACTAGTTCTGGCTGCTAGCAGAGAATACTTCAATTCATCAACCAGTCTGACTGATACCTGTATGGATTTGGCCAGGTATATTTACAGCTGTTATGTATGTAAAGATACTATGATAAGATGATAAATGATAATTTGATATGATAAAGGTGTAAGATTTATTTTACCCATGTCGCTTTGCACATGTACATCAAGGCAGGCCCATGGTTGCTGGAATGATCTATTATGAATTTCATGTTGAAGAAGAAGAAATATGCAAATCTTTTTACAAGGATAATAAACTTTGTGTCATTTTGACTCTTTTCTGTGTTACAACACTGAACTTCAGGTGCGGCCACCAGTTAGTACCACAGTGGACAATAACATTTCATGGATTCTTCAATTTAAAAAAAAAATATTTATTTATTTATATGTATTTATTTTATTTATTTATTTCATGTTTATTCCTGATTCTGAGACTTCATTTGAGGCAATATATCGTTCTTTGTTAAGAAATAATCCAAATAGTTCTTCAGAAAGGAATTCATACACAGTGTTCCATAGAGACTGCAGTGCATGGAAGTTTGTATGTAGAGGTTGAAGTGTTGATATACATTATTGTGCAAGTTTAGGTATGGAAGTATTTTCTGTTACAGTATAGTTGCAAATAGGTAATAATACTTGAATATTTTACCTATGTAAAAAGTTGATGCTTTGGCTTATTCTAAATATTTTAAATACAGGCATGTCTTAATATTGACATATTTTCCCTTTTACTCTTAGAATTTAATCTTTGATCTTTTTTTGTCATGTGTTCAACCAAATGAATTTTGCTTTTTCCCGAGGGTACTTACCTAAGAACACCAAAAACATAACCAAATGAAACTACTTACATTCATTTAGAAAAGAAGACCTGTCTTTTAAATACTGCTTTCACTTAGAAGTGTACATTTAGCTATTAATTACAAGAAAGACTGAACTGTTTTCCTTCCTCTCAAGATACGAATTCATCTTGACCTTCAGTAGTATTGTGTGTGTGGTAGCACTCTTTTAGGAAATCTGCATCAAACTAGCTTTTAATTGAGTAAAGTAATAGTCAAATGTTTTATGATTACTACTTCAAATTGGGAAATTTTACTCAGTGAAACTTTGCAACTTTAGAAATTTATACGTTGACAACTCATGTATTTTCCCTTAAGATTTAAAGGAATATTTCATGGTTTATCTTCAGTAGAGGTGTTATCTTCTATACAACTTAACTCAAAAATGATGTAAGAGGTGAGACTTTTTTCCTAATGACTTACATCATGTTCCTCTCCCATCTCAAATGAGTACACAGGAAAATGCAGGTGCATGTTTATATAATTAAAGGTTTTATTGCCTTAGGTCGAATTGGGAAGGCATTCACTTTTACAGTATCTCTTACATAATGTTAGTTGTATTTATATCTTTCTACTGAAAACATTCTTTCTTAAATAAGTATTCCTAATGATAAGTATGAACATAGTTTGCCAGTGAAAATTTTATTTAAAAGCTGATTATGTCCATATAATATTCATAAATATATGCATATTCTATTTAGAGTTTTAAATTAGTATAGTGTTTATTATTGTATAATTTATCTTCAGAGCGATGTTTTACAGGTATTTTTGTCACCCTTGTTTTCATTTTCTGAACGTAGCTGAGGAAACAGAATTTGTGACAAAGGACTTCACATTTTGTTTTCAATCAACATTTTGCTTTTGTCTTGTTGTGCTTCAGTTTTGCCATATACAAATTTCCTAAGTAATTACATATTTAAAAATTATATATTTTGAACAGAATGTTGCTGTTTTTTTCTTTTTTTTTTTACTTCTGAAGAGAGCTAGCATTTTAAACCATTAATTTAATTCACTTTGATTTATCCAACAGTTTTCACAAAAGTTTGCTTCCTCCTTATTTAGATGCTGCCTGCAGCTTATTGTTGACTGTCCAAGTGCTATTCAGGAGGAGCTAGATCTCATTCGTGCTCTTGGCTACCTTGAAGAATTTGGTGTGAAAATATTACCATTACAAGGTACTACATATTTTTATTCTTCATACAATTTTTTGAATCACATGCATAAATGGATGACAAATTATTTACTGTTTTGTGTTTCACGAGTAAAGTACAGAGTACCTCCCTGTCTCCGAAGATAGTTTTTTCAGTACTTTTTAATAACTATGTTATTAATTATAGAGCTTAGGAAGCTCTTGGTGGCTTCACAGCAGCTGACTTCCTGCTTGCAAAATAGTCCACGCATACTGTTGCTGAGTTACAAAATATAGGAGAGAACCATTTGATCTGTAGGCAGTTTTCTTGTCTCAATTGAGTTGTTTCATTTTTAAGTGTATAATACAGAATGACAACAGAAGTGAATTTTCATGAGCTGTTGCTTTTGAAGACGTTTAAAAGTTAAAACTCTTTTTTAACTCTTATTTCAGTATGGAAATCTGTTGGACAGAAATTTGAAAGAAAGGATGATTACAGACAATGAGTTGAAAGGGAAGATGGAATATAGTGCCGTATATTTTGTTATTTATTTTACCAAACTAGTATCATTCATTGCTTTTTTAACAAGCAAGCCACTTTTCTAACTGAAAAAAATACGAGAAGTTTTACCCCTACAGGCAAGTTGAATTCAAGCTGGGCTTTTGCCTTTCGAATTTTCTCCTTGTTAATGATATTAAATTATACAATTAATGTAATTTTCAAATTTATTTTAATATCTTTCTTGAGACAGTACCAATTGTAAACTTCTTGAGATATGTTGAATGCAAGCTGTTGGTGTGTTGACTATTCCTTAGCTTCCTCAGAAAATTTTTCCATACATTAAATCAGCTTGAAGATTTTGCCCATGTCTGTTCTTTCGGTGTACAATGTATCCTGTCCACTCTGAAATAAAAAAGGAAGTGAAATCCTAGTTATTTGAGACATTTTGAAAGAAAGCTCATGTTTATTGCAGCAGACCTTTTGAGAAAGTTGCAAAAATGATATATGACATATATATATGTATATATTTAATGATTGCTCAGGTAAGTTTAAAAACATAGTCTGAAAGGTGGAAGCAAAAAAAAAAATTTCATTTAAATCTCCATCTTTTTTGCATCCCAAGCTGAGAAGCTAGTGATTGTGGCTGGATATGTTTTAGTGTTTAAAAACTTCATACCTTTACTTGCACACATTTCCTCAACTGTCTTTGGGTTGTTTTTCAGATGATGTTGTTATACTGTCTATATTGCTTAACAAAAATGTTCATTTACAATGGTCTCTAACACCCAAACACCCATTCTTCTTCCAACAGTCCGTTTGTGTTCAGATCGGCTCGGTCTCATCAAGGACTGTCTTTCTCAGTTACCAACAAACTATAAGCAGTCTGCTAAGCTCCTGGGACTTGCAAATTTGCTGAGAGTTGCAGGTAAGTTGTTATAAGACATTGAACTGCAATAAAGCATAGATTTGTGTTATACTTGAGGACATCTGAGCTGATTGTTGGATTGCATGTTCAAGGATATCACTAAAATGCCATCTGGAAAAGCATTCAGTGGGTCAGAAAGAAATAATTTACTTAAATGAAATATTTTACCTGCAAGCTGATCTTCAGCTTTTCTGACCTTCCACTAATACCTTAAATAAGAACAGCCTTGTCTAATCTTGATTTTGAGTAAAAGCTTATTTCAGACTGGAGGAGTTGTGGATGAGAATATACACTTTTTTTTAATTGTCATTTGGTAGTACTAAATTTCCAGCAAATCTTACTCTGTATGTTAAACAGGGTAGTTCAATTTAATAATAGTCATTTTTAAGTTGGAGGAAAAGCAATGGAGTGCCCCTGGATGGGGCCCTGGGCAGCCTGGTTTAGTATTAAATGTGGAGGTTGGTGGCCCTGCATATGGCAGGGGGGTTGGAGATTAATGATCCTTGATGTCTTTTCCAACCCTGGCCATTCTGTGATTCTGTTGAAAAAAGTCATCCGTGATGTCTGTCTAACAACTGAAATTTATACTTCTATTGTGCTGTATGTATTTTGTTTATGCAGTAAAACTAATAGTTTAGCTTAATATATGTTTGAAGAGGTGAACATTTTCAAAGATTAAATGCTTAGTATACTAGCTGTCTGTGTATTTATTTTTCAACTGACTTGTTACTTTGTCAGAGAAGTGAATTCTTAGTTTGTTTTTGGAATTGCTTAATGAACTAAACTCAGGTCCTCCATACTGCTTGCAGGTTATTCAAAGCATTAGCAGCTATTTTGAGAAACAGAGAAGAAAGTGATAAATTCTCCTAAATTTATCAGTCAAGGATGTCTTTTTAAAGACACTTTTTTCTTTTTGTTGGCTTTTTCTTGTATCACTATTTTGCCACTTTTTTTTTCTTGTATGTTCATGTTTTACTGAAAGAATTAGTGGGGTTTTTTTGGTTTGTTTGTTTGTTTTAAGTAAGTAGGAAAAAATGGCTGTTTTTGAAAGGGGAAAAAAAGAAGAAGGAAAGATCCTTGAAGTGTTGTGTCTTGTATGTACTGTATATTTAGCTTACTCAATGTTTCTGGTAGATCTTTTGATTTTTTGAAAAACACTTGGTACAACTGTAAATTATGTACTGCTGAAGTTGTACCATGTTGCCAGATGCAGTATGGTGTATAAAATGAGTGTGTTCTGGTATTGCCACTGGTGCATGCTTACTAGCTCTTTTCGATCTCCACCTGTTAAATCATTTAGGATTTCTTTATTTATTTTGGAAAATTTCCCAGCAACAATTATTGCTTAAAATTATATGCAGGGAGGGAGATATTTAAGGGATTGAGTGTGGTTTTGAATGGAGATACAGAAGATGCTGGCCTCCTGAGTTGACTGGATCATAAGAAAAGAAATCAATGGAAAAGATATGTCAGAGGGTAGATGTCAGGAAGAAATTCTTTACTGTGAGGGTGATGAGACACTGGAACAGGTAGCTCAGAGAGGCTGCGAATGCCCCCTCCCTGGAAGCATTGAAGGCCAGGCTGGATGGGGATATGAGCAGCCTGATCTGGAGGGGTGGGTTAGAACTAGGTGGAAGTCCCTTCCAACCCAAACTGTTCTATGATTTTATAATATTTGGTATATTACACTAGCCTCTAAGATACTGTGAGTTAAATTTCTACTCAAAACTCAGTATTCAGCTCAATATTTTAATTCCAGTTCAAAAAGAGTGCATCTGCTATACAGGCAAGGGTAAAGTGCATGTAGTTTTCATCCTGTAGGAGATTCTAGTTGCTGTCCTGAAAAAAGTTCAGGAGTGTATGTACTGAGTATAGTTTATTTTAGAGAGCAACTCTGAAAGAAAGTAATAGCTTTGATAAGTACAAAAATAAATTCCAAAATGCCGCTTAGGTAATGATATATCAGCTAGTTTCCTAATTGCTTTAAGGTATTTGATTAATGACAGTAAACTCTACTTAAGCCTCACATTACTACCTCCTCTAAATTAGACACACAAGTGTTATCTGAATTTTACAGATGGGCAAAGTGAGGGAGGGCGAATGTGCTCAGCACGACTGCCAGCAAACCTGCACACGGGTAGGGAACTGGAGGTGTTCTAGGTCTCATAATCCATTCTTAATCCATAATTAGAAAAAAAACAGAAAACCGTGTGTCAGAAATCAAGAGACTTAGTAAACGTTGCTACTTATTCTGACAATTTCTGATTTAAATTGTCTATAAATATTTTCTATTAGTCTTGCTCTTTCCTCAAAGTTTTATAATGATAATTTGATTTATATCTGTGTACTAATTCTAGTAATTTTTAGCTTTGTTTATATCCCCGAGTCAACTAAAACCGTATTTTTGAAATTTGTCTTCTCAGCACGGACTTTTTTTGCTTGATTTATGTAGAAACAACCATGCAGGTGGTTTGTGCCCTCACAAATGATTGTTTGACATTTAAGTTTTCATAACATGGTTTAACTCAAGATAGTGTTCTCTTCTTTATTATGGTCACAAATGCAGCAGACATTTCACCCAGAAAATCTGTCAGGTGTTTTTTTTATTATTTTATTTTCCTTTTTCAATGATCTAGATCAGATTCAAGCTTTTTGAACGTCTTTAATTTCCAACTGGAAAAAAAAAAATAAAAATCTGTAATGCCATCTCTGCTTTTATCAACATCTATCTGAAGGCGAAATGCTGTAACAAAAGAATATGGAAGAAACCCTGTACCTGAAAGACACCTAAATCTTACTGAGCAGACTATCCCCTAGAATATAAATGTATATTTTTGTGACATAAGGGAGCATTAGTCCTGAGCAACTGAAGCTATGCACACACACGTCCAACGAGTTGTGAAGAGGAAATAACATCTGACATATTTTTTCCAGTTTCTAAACTTTTGTTTGAAAGTACGTAGTTAGGTGCATTTAATGCAGAATTCCTATGTAACAAAATAATGCTGCCAGTTTAGCAGTCTTTAATATGGGACGTATTATAAATCTTGCATGTCTATCAAAATGGCAAGAGGAACAACTCAGATTTGAGGATTTTCACTTTTTATAAAGCTTTATTATTAAGTATTTCTACAGATGAGGAGCCATGAAGCTAAACTAGCAATTTATTTTTTTTTCTCATGTCTGAGTAGAAGAATGAAACTGTGCTGCTCATCTACAGTGGGTCGTGTTTGAAGTGACTGTGCTGTTGAGACAATGAAAGCCATATGAAAAAGGGTTTGAGCTGTGTATTGCAGGGGCTTCACCAGTTGAGTCGGAGCCCAGAGTTATTCCACAGAATAACAGTGTGCATCAAGATAATGGAAGATCGAGTGAGAGAAAAATGGAGATCAGATGAAAAAGTATAGTTGTAAACTGGGAAGAAAACAGTCTGTATATTTTATACTTGTACTTTTGTAAAACATGCAGAGTTGTATCTACTGCATCAAAATTAAGTAGCTAAATTGATTGAGAGAGGGAATTTGTCAATGTATGACTAGTCAAGCACAGTTGAGAAGGCATTTCCTTTCTCGTAGTGTTTCTCCATTCTCTCCTCCAATCCCACTGATTTTTAAGTAGTAATAAATAGTGATGATTATTTTATTTAGCTGAAATCTGAATAATGGTAGTTTGATTATTTCTATTACCTTTTTTTCTGTCACTATTTAGACAAATCTCTCCAGGTTCTAGACAAATGCTGTACAGGTGACGTAGTGGGAATCAGAAGGTGATTGGCAAGTACAATTCCTTGCTTTCAGAATGATAGTTCACATCCAGATTTTGTAGATGAAAAAGAGTTTTTGTGGTTGCTTTTGCCTGGATAAGAAGCTCCTATTCTCCATAGGGCAAAATTTTGCAACACAAAAAGCCTTGGAGTGATTAATTTGCAACACCATGCACTGACAGTTATAGGGCAAGAGGCCAAAAGATGTAAATAATGGAAAGTCAAAGTGTTCTCCCAGCTGTGTTAGTTGCAACGTGCTGGGAGTAGGGGAATCTTGATTGAGTGCAATAATTAGGGTAACTTTGCTTCCCTGAATGTCATTCTTGCACATCTTATCTTTCAAAAAAGCTTTAAAACAAATTTGCTTTTCCTGTATTGATGATTCTGCCAATTAGAATTAAAAATAACAGCTATGTAATTTAAGAACATGTACTCTTTAAATTGTTTTGGAACTGTCTTTGTTTAACCTTCTGAAATATTTGCATTTCACAAGTTGCAGTAATACAGTTTCATAAACCATTGCCCTTTTCAAATGACTGTCAGTATTGGCTTCCTAAAATCACTTCTAATAGGAGAGAAACACGACCAAGAAGTTTGCTTTGAAAAATCCACTCATTTAATCAGTTTCTTGACATTCCTCAGTCCTAAATTAAAATGAATAATGTGGAAATATTTTTCCTGTGTACGTTTAGTCACCTTTTCATGTAGCATGTGGATGTGGGAGCTAGCTTGAGCAACTGGCATCAGGAGAATAAGTAATTCTTCAGTTCTTTTGTGCTTGCTCTAGATTGGACAGGAAAAGCTTTAAAAATAATAAAAAGCTGGTGATAGTCAATACAAATAACATCTTTTCTTGTATCTAGATTTGAAAGGGGGATTAGTTGTCTGATTAAATTTTAATTTGCAAGTGCTGATGTTTTAAAATGATGTTTGTCTGCTGAAATTCTTGATGAAAGTTCAGTCAGAAGATGTCAGTAATATCTGAAGCTTTACTTTTGACTCATCCTTTAGGGAAGAGGCATAATATTGCTCAGACAATCTAGTGACCAAGATGCTTATATAATGTGAGAAAGTACTCTACATTTATCAGGGCAGGAATTTTAAATATCTGTCTCTTCCGCATCTTACGAATGCTTGGCAGCGTGAAGTGGGAGTTTAAATTGGGAGCTCTGTTTGACAAAACATAATTGTAAATATCAAAATAATTTTTCTATCACAATTGAAACACGAAGTTCATGTTTGGATTTGTATGTCTTTTTTTATCAATTTTAATCTGTTGATTTTGGCTATCATGTAAGTAAGGCAGCACCTATTTTTCTTCTAAACACTTTCTTAACCTAGACTTTAATGCATTGTGTGGTTTCTTTAACCAACTGTGAAACCAACTTTTTTCCAAACGGTATTCATCTGCTGTTTTGTTTTTAAGAAGAAAACAGATAGTTCCGGAAGTTCATCTCATACTGTGGCTTATAGCTCTCTTAAGAAATAAAGTAGGAAGCTTATATTAATTATTGCAGCAACTAACTAATAAAAATATTCATTTTTTTCTTACAGGAGATGACCAGGTGGAGAGAAAGGGTCAAGTTTTAATCCTTTTAGTGGAACAAGCTCTCAGTTTTCAGGACTACAAAGCAGCTAGTATGCATTGCCAAGAACTCATGACTGCAGGTGAAGTAAAATAACAAAGGTGTCATGGGGTGATGATGGTTGGAAAGCTCGCTCTGAAGTATGTTACTTCAGACTGATCCATTTCATTCAAAAAATCAGCTACTTTGTGCAAGTCAGCATGTCAGCTGTGCGTGGTGTGTAGCATGAAATATAACAACTTCCATTTATGTCACAGATCTACAAAATAAGTCATGGTGTGTTCTGGTTGTCTTTTGAGAATTTGGTCTGCTGAGGTCTCTGAAATGAAAGTGTGTACTGTAATTCAGATAATCCTTTTCTTTTTGGGTCAGAAGCTCAAAAGTATATCCCATTAGGGATTCTATTTTTTAGTGGGATTTTCTATGGGTTTTTTTTTGTGTTAAAAAAAAGTCTTATTTTCTTGTCAAGTTGTTTAAATACTCCAAATGCTATATTTTGGAATTATGGAATCATGGGAGCGTGGTATGGTTTAGGTTGGAAGAGACCTTTAAGTGTTCCAAGCCCCCTGCCACTGATTGTGTTTTTGGTAATCACCACATGAAACAATATTGCAGTTTAATATGTATTTGTCCATATGCGTTCAGTATTGCTGATACACAATTATATTTACCTATGAAATTATTTGTGGAATGTATTTCAATTTCCTTTTAAAATGCTGCAGCTTGCAAAAGTTCTCTGCAATTGCTATCCCACTTATTCATTGCTTGAAATAATTAAGAAAAAATTTTCTTAGACAGCTGGGTAGGAATATTTCATTCAGTTTTCTATATGGAAATATGCTTATAGTGTTGTAGAATCTAGGAGTAAGTGCTGACTTTTGTTTCTTACCAAATATTACAGGGCCCTGATTCTTTGTTGCATATAGTAACCATAGTAGATGCAGGCAGTACTGCTGCAGTCTGATAGGGCAGGCGTTTGAAAGGATCTTTGCTGTGACAGGGGCATGCTGTCGGCTCTAGGTTATCTGGAGTCACCTAAACTTGCCCTTCAGTGAGTCCTTAGTAAGAGATATAAAGTGGACACGTGTGTGAATTTTTCAGATGACTTTCTATCAAGGTAATTAACATATATGTGCTATTTATGTAATTCTTATATGTGAGGATATGAATGAGAGTAAAGGATATGTATGTTGAGATACTAAGGAATATAGGTTTTTTTTCTCTGCCTCTTTTTTCGGCCACAAATTTGTGAGAGGGTGAAGAAACAGATGAATTGAAGTTATTCTAGTTTATCAGTTGATAGTTCTTACCAAAGTATTAAAGGGAACTTCTGCTCTTTTTTATTTCTATTTTATTTTAAGTCTATCCATCCACTGTCCTCCACCCCAGTAAGTTTGTTCTTGTTCTGCTCTCTCTCTACTTTCACTGCTGCATGACAACATATGAGGTGTCTTCTAAACATTGTTACATAATGGATGCTCAATTAGGAGTGCCATTCTTGTAATATATTTCATATTATGTTCTGAAGTGCGTTCTTTTTTTTCTTACTGCTAGTGTAAAAGTGTAGCGTGTAGGCATACAGATTCCTATTGTAAAGATATCTACAACGTGGTAGCAGTGAGTCTTCATTCTGTTTGGTCAGTCTGAACTTGAATTACATCAATTTGATGGGGCCTTCACAGTACCTTTCTCAGGGACTGTGTTGACAGGAGTACCACATACCCTCCTTTGTCTCATCCAGTGAGAGTACTGCAACTTGAGAAACTTGCTCAGAAGTTAATTTTGTGTTCCCTTGTAGGCTATGCTAAAAGTTGGGAAGTATGCAGTCAGCTTGGGCAATCAGAAGGCTACCATGACTTGGGCATGCGTCAGGAACTCATGGCTTTTGCTTTGACACACTGTCCCCCAAGTGCTATAGAGGCATTGTTGGGAGTGAGCAGTTCATTGCAAACCCAGGTATGTCTTTCTGAAACTTCTTTCATACATTTAAGTGTACTAAGGTATTAAAGGGAACTTCTGCTCAGTTTTGTTTCCCGAAGTGTGTCTGTCTGCCACCCCCACTGCAGCAAGCTTATACTTGTTCTATTTTCACTGTTCTATTTCAGCATAAGTTTTCCTATAAGCTGTTCATATGATGCCTGCTCAGGTAGAAGTTCTCATTCAGTACTTCTAATGTTTTAATTTATTGTCTGATTTAACATTCTATCTGCAAGTACATCAAAATCCTTTTTCTAATGTTATCCAGGTTCTGTCACCTGTTTATACGCTGTAATGTAACGTAATTAAATGTCCACATAAAAGTTAATTAAACACTTCTTTTTATAGATTTGTTTCTGTATAATACAACCATCTTAGAAGTTTTATGTTCTGTCTGAAGACACAAGGGGGAGAGGAGAGCAATAGATACAGTACATGTGCAGTCTAATTAAGGCAACTACAAATGCATATCCTTTTTAATTATAAAATTGCTTGTATAGCTATGTGTATGAAAAATATAGGAAACATGAAGGCAGTCTCTAGAACTTTGGTAAGAGGGTAGTAGCAGAATGAAATTGTACAGAGTATTTGAAATGAAGTCTTGCTTCTGCATGCATGTTTGGGCAGGTATCTACTATAGTTACCAGCTTAAACACAAATGAATCTTGGCAGAATTGTTACCTGTGCAATATAAAAATAAAAGCATGTTTCCCTCCCTTATGTGCCTAACGTATGGTGCTGTATAAAGCAAAATGTGATATGCATTCTGTCAATTAATTGCCTGTTTATTGCTGTATTTTTCCTCTTTTCCTCTTAGTTGTAATGTACTGTCAGTGAATATTAGCCTTTTGCATCCCTTTTTCAAGGGACAAGATTCTCTTCTTCATTCACAAAGTTTGGTACTGAATTGTTTTCTTGGGTTTCTTTATTACTGCAATATGATTTGTTTCGAGCATATAGTGAAGATTATTTATTTGGTACTTGCCCCAGGATGTGGAGCCCAAATTGAGATTTCCACCGAAGAATGGTTAATCAGTATCTTCTGCAATTACTTCCTCCAAAAGCTGCACACAATTTTTTTTCAGTGTTCTTCCTTAACAAACTTAATGTGTTCTGTCCAAGTGTGCTCATTTTGTATATTTTGATAAATGCAAAAAATCTTTATCAGCAGTTCATGGTAATGAGATGATACTAAAAGACTGTGACTGAGTTTCTTTTGTAGAACTTTGTTAGTTTTATGGCTTGCTAATGTAACAGCAATGCCTAGCACCTCAGTGGCACAGTTCCCATAATGAGTATTTTTGATGAAGTCCTTCAGTTTACGTGGTTCAGAAGAGTGTGTATAGTCTAAAAAGAACCAAACAATTCTTATATTGTATGGAAAAAAGCATTGCACAAAGTTCAGAGTGAAGGGAAAGTCATTTTTCCTTGGAACTGGACAACATGAGTAAGAAGATGCCAAATATATCTGTTTTCTTTTTCTCCCTACCCTTTTTGCCTCCTCCCTTATTGTTTTCCTCTCATGGAAGCTTTTGCATCAGAATTTCTTGAATTTCCTGTGGAATCAGTGTTTTATATTTTGATTATTTGTTCTGGTAAGACATTATTCTGTCTTCATAGATTCTCTATCAGGCTGTGAATTACCAGTTGCTTCCTTCAGAAGGAGGTGAGAATGTGAATACCTCAGGACCTTCTTCACTGATGAGTAAGGATACAGAGGTAATCTTTATAGAGAATTCATACAGTAGTAATGATTTTGCTTTATATTATTCTGAAGAGCTGAGTTCAAGTGTGAGCAACATCTGCCTGTATATGTGTCAAATGTGCAGTCTTTAAGGCTGCTAATTTCCATTTGATTGTTATGGGTTCAAGAGTTCTGGTTTCTTTTTTTTGTTTATTTGTTTTGTTTTGTTTCTTCCTAGGCAATTTTAACATCATAGGAAAAATGTATATATATAAACCTAGAGGCAGGAAAAGAGGGAAGTTCAAGAAAACTTAACAAAATAAAATACATTAAAATTGGTTTGTATTTTTTTTATCTGTCTTTGCAAATCAAAACATTTGAAAATAAGCCTGTGCTATGTATTCAGAAATATCTTGAGTTAAACTTTTTCTTCTGTATATCATGAAATAAGCGATTTCTTCACCATTTTAGATACTGCATGTGAAGTAGCTTTTGTGTGCAAAATCAGAAGACAGATCAACCCCGAGTTATTTGTGGAAATAAAGGAAGGGGAGCAGAAAAGTCTACTGTTCTTTTCTACTTTTCAAGTTTATGATTTTAAGTAATTTAATTTTGTACATGTACAATTGGGAGTACATTTTTTTTCTCTTTAAAGTTGATACTGTTTTCCTTTTCTGAAAGAAATGAGTTATTTTTCTACCTCTTTGGAGTCTGGATAATTCTAAATTTGATTAAGAAGTTGTTTTGGGGAAAAAAACATTTTCATGTTTACTTTAGATCCCTTTTATTTTTCCCTGTATCTTTTCTGTTTAATTCAGTTTTTCTTTAGATGTTAAACAAATCTCAGGTTAGGAGGAAAGAAAAACTCTTAAAGAAATATAGAAAAGTAGAGAAGGAAAGAAAGAGTTGGTTCATATGGTATAGGCTGTTTTCTATTTGTGTGTTTGTAGTTGAATTGCAGCCTATTTAGTGATATTTTCCCTTGAAAGAATTTCCATGAATGTGATAGCTGTAGATGGAACGTGTTCGTCTTTGATTTCTGTGTATTTAATACCATATTGCTAAAATAACAAATAATGTTTTGTCTTCTTTCAAAATGTTACACTGCAAGTTCTGTACATTTACTTATTTTAACTGTTTGTCCTCTGTTGAATTATGTAGGATTTATAGCTTCTTTCATTTCTCACGGTTTTACAGTGCCTCAAGAGAGAACATAGCCAACAATAATTAAGTGCTGTATAATCCTACCTTTGTTTTAATCAACATCTGATATGTAATATAACTGTTTTACTGCTGTAGCATACCCTGGGAATTCCTCCATCTGGAATCTTTAAAACTGCAGGCAAAAATATCATGGTAGCTGCAATTTCAAATAGTTGTGATATATATCTACACACAAATGTATATTGCATTTATATACATACATATGCATGCGTGTGTGTATTTTTTTGTGATTAACTGAAACTATCTTTTGTGGGTTAGTAAATGTACTGGTTTTAATTCATTAATTGCTAAATTATAATGCTCATAGAAAGAAACGGCTGTAATTACTGGAGGTGTGATATTCTTCATGGAGTTCATTTAGTGTCACTGAACTCCTGTGATGAGGAAGAGGAGATCTGAAGGTGGACTCCATGCTTGCACTGTTTAAACTCCTGCTGGCAATTTAATCAATGATGCACAGAGAATAATGACACTAACTAGCCATTACAGGCTTGATTCATTTATTTAATCAAAGATGTCAACAATTTAAGATGTCTTTGAGGTATCCTTCTGTCCTTATGCTACTGATCCCAAAAGTCTAGGTCCTCTTATTAGACCTAAAAGTATTATGAATATATCCTAATTACTACCATGTATATCAGGCTGTCATCAAAGCTTGTGTTTTAAGTAGCTGAATGAAAACAAATTGTCTGTGCTTAAAATTGCATTACTTCCTAGGTTCCAATGATAGTAATAGCCTTAATAAATCATTAGACATCCAATGACACCTGAATTCTAGTGTTATAATCTTGGGCTGCATCCTTTTTGTAGTTTCTAATCTATGTGTTGGTTTATGTTTGCAGGAATTTTTTATGTTTTGTCTAACTACAAATCCTTTAGCTTTTCTTTCATGTAATCAACATATGCAAGTTTTCCTTAAAACAAAAAACAAAAAACAAAAACAAAAAATAACCAGTACATATTTTTCTATTCTCATTTGTTGCTTTCAGAGGACTGTTAAAGCATAACATATATTCAGGGTATGCTTTCAGTGTATTTGGATTCTTGCATGTGGGCTAGTTGTCATTAAAGGGAACAACAATAACAAATCAGTGTGGCAGGTATTTTTTTATCACTCTCTTCTCTGACTTTTTTTTTAAAAAGAAATCATTGGTTTTGTTTTTTGTTATTAGGTTAGACTGTTTGAATCTGTATAATAATATGTATATAAACACATGCAAGTATTTTAGCTGTTAATTTAGATTATCCTGATAATTTAGAATTTGATGGCTTTTTTTATAGTGATTTAGATTCATATAATCTTTTTAGATGCTAAAAGAAAATTTTCCTCAAAATCTTCAAGCTATAATGTCCTCCTAAAGGATACAATTAAGCTTATCTTACTACATTGGATCTTTAACATTATTTCGGGAATAAAATAGATTTACAGAGGTTAATACAGGATAGCATGAAGTTAGGCTAAAAGTGTTGCAGTTCAAATTACAGAGAGGAAGGATTTAAAGTTCTGGTATGTTGTACTTAGCACACATTTTGTTCATTTGCATCTGTCATGAGCAATTGTGAACTAATACTTATTCACTTATTACTTTTGCAGATAGAATTCTATTTCAGTAAACTTTGCTGTAAGGAGATAAAGCTGTGAAAGTTTACTGTATGGATGGGAATATTGATATTGTGTGGTGTTGGAGACAATATTTACATTACCATGCTAGTCAAGTGTTTATATACTAACGTGTAAACTTTGTAAAGCATGCCACAAACATAAACCTTTCATGGATGAAATAATTAGCACAGATCAACCAAATGGATGTTTTGAATATTAATTAAATACTTTACATGACAAAGAGCTGATGCAGAAAGCTTTTTTTGTCCTGTATGTTAAGAATTGATTTTAATGAGAGTCTGCTGAAACTGAGTGAAGATGTTTTGCAGGAAACCGTAAGGAGGCCTCATTGTGGCCTTCCAGCTCTTGAAGGGGGCTTATAAATAGGAGGAAGTACAACTTTTTACATGGACTAATAGTGATAGGAGAAGGGGAATAGCTAGTTTAAAATAAAATAGGGGAAGTTTAGGTTAGACGTTTGGAAGAAAATCTTTGCTCAGAAGATGGTGAGCCCCTGGCACAGGTTGCCCCCAGAAGTTGTGAATGCCCTATCCTTCAAAGTGTTTATGGCCAGGTTGGGTGGAACCCTGGGCAACCTGATCTGGTGGTTGGCAATTCTGCCCATGGCAGCGGAGTTGGAACTAAATAATCTTTAAGGTCCCTTCCAACCTAAGCCATTCTGTGATTCTTTGAATGTGTGTATATTGCAAAAATGTCTTAGGCTTGAGAATGGACTAGGTAGGATCTCGTATTCTTCATTGCATTCTGTTAGATTTTCTGTATTTCTATCTAACTTGTAAGTTCTGAGTGAGAATTTCAAGTCTTGATACTTCTTTGCTTTCTCTGGAGATGAGTGTTTACAGTTTACTGAGAACTCAATAAATGCTACCTTTATTAATATAAGATTGTCTCTACTATCAGATTGCTTGAATTGCTGAAGATGAACTTCAGTATGTTTGGTGATCCGCAATTTATTATTGCTGAGTACATAAATTTAAAACATCGTCATGATAAACTTTGGAGTTATGCGCAGTTGGTATCTGGACACATGAGATTACAACTGAGTAAGAGGCAAAATGTTCTACTGATCATGCTACTGACTTCAGATTTAAACTCCTACTTAACTTTTTTTTATACAACAGTTGTTGCCTAAATTAATGAATGTTGAAATAAGTTATTAATACAGCATATTAACACACTGTGTGTAAATTCTAATGTGTTTTGGTATTAGGTCATTGCTGTAGTTAAAACATGAGTCTAACACTTATCATTGTGTGTTGGATGTGCTCACAGGATGATACCAACATCTCCGCTAGCCAGTCTGCTGATTTGTTGTACTGGACAACAACAAAAACCATGAAGGTGTTGTCTAACACAACTATGACTACAAAAGCTATGCTGCATGCTGTGAGTGATGGTCAGTGGTGGAAGAGATCACTAACTTACCTTCGACCATTACATGTAAGGGATTGCTTACGTGTCTTGAAATGTTTATATATTCACTGATATGTTACTATAGGAGGGCTCCTTTGTAGATTCCTGACAACTGAAGACCTCAAACTAATAAATTAACTACTAACATCAAGGGGCTGTTGACAAGCAAATCCCAATGAAACAAGTGCTTGAAGGTGTTTCCTTTTCCTAGTTTTTCTCTTGCTTTTTTCTAGCATAGTGTGACAAGGCATAGTTTAAACTTGGTTGAAATTCAGAACTTTGGAGAATGGAGCACAGTGAAGTCAACAATTTAAGTACTTAAGTTATCTTCAGAGCTGTTGATTTTTCAGTTTTTCTTTTCTATGTTGCTTATTTGAGTGGATTTTCTATAATATTCTTGATACCAGTTTCTGCAACGTCACTGTTAAGTGTGATTTAAAACAAAAATAAAAGTTAAAAAAAAAAAAAAAAAAAGCTTTGTGTAGGATGTTGCTTATCTTAATCTTGTGGATTTCAGGACTATTTTCAGATGCTTCCCTTCTGAATAGCAGTACAGAGTTTTCAATGAGGTTTTGTTTACAACTAAGCTGTACCTTTTTTTTCCTTTCCACAGGGGCAAGAACTTGGAGATGTGTTAAAAAGTGGGCTGGGAGAAAATATCACTGTGGAAAAGCAAGGCTGTCATCCATTTTATGAGTCTCTAATAGCTGACCCATATGTTGCAGAAGTAAGTTTCAGTTACAGAATTCTGAATCTTTTTTTTTTTTTCTAGATCTTATAATTAAGTAATAATATGGATTTTTGATGATATATTTGACTTGCAAGAATCTAAAGTTTTGTGTGAAAGTAGGAAAAATAGAAGACTGAGAGGGAATCTTATTAATGTGTACAAATAGCTTACGGGTGGATATCAACAGGATGAGGCTAGACTTCAGTGCATGACATCAGGACAACAGACTAGGACTGAAACTCAAACACAGGAAGTTTCATCTACATATGAGGAAAAAAAAGTCACTGTGGGAGGTGACTGAGCACTGAAACCAGGTTGCCCAGAGGGGGTGCGGAGTCTGGTTCTGGACTGGAGATAGTTAAAACTTGCCTCGATGTGATTCTGTGCAGTGTGTTAGATAACCCTGTCTGAAGCAGAGGTACTGGGAATAGATGATCCCAAGTGGTTCCTTTCATCCTTAACTATTCTCTGATTCTGTAGATAAATTCCAGAATTAAATAGAAATGAGAGCAAAAGAAAGAACTGAGGTCGATGATTGTAACTGCAGAGTATAGTGCACATGCATCAGTTATGATGTTTTACTTCTAGTCTGAAATCAGCTATGGCACATACCAGAACAATTCTTTGGAAAGTTTTGCAGAAGTGTTGTTGAGAACAGAGAAACTCGCAGAAACGAAGAGTGAAGCAAAAGACCTGCTTCCAACTACAGAAGGTATGAGTGTGCGTGTGTATTCACTCTTGTACTTGCTATAATATTGTAAGTATAGCAGAAGCTTTGGATGAGTTTAAGTGTGGACAATAGTACGTAATGCTTTCAGTAATGTCTTGATAGTTTGTACAAATTATTCAATTTAACTTCTTGAGTAAATAGTCTTAATAGAAGTAGATAGAGCTTTTAGAGAAGTGCTGTTTCTAGAAGGAGTCGCTCAGTAGAAACCAGAAATTTTAAATATGAAAGTTGGCTTTAAATAAACAGAAATTGTTATTCGGAGACTGACAAGGTTATGAACATTATGAAAAAAAAAAAAAAAAGCTGAATATTTCCTTAATACTGCAAACTACAAATATTTAAAATGAAATTTACCACACATTGTTAATATCTCTATTTGTTCAGAGCTCATGCCCTTGTTTAAACAGCAATCCTTATTGCAGGATCATTGCAGTATTTTATTTGGTGTGCAACTGCTCAGTTTCCAATTTCTGGAAACAGTAGAACTTTTTGTCTTTTTTAAAATTTTTAAATTTTATAGATCATACTCAGTAACTTGTTAACCGAAACAGTTCCACTTTTTAAAAGCAATACAAAACTTCAGTTGTTTGATATTCCTTCTGGCAATCTCCTGCTAGTTTAAGAAATGTGCAAATATTTAAAAAAATTTAAGAACTGTGTAAATATTTACTGTTAGTGCATTTTGAAGGAAGAAATCTATTTTATTTTATTCCACGGGAAGATCTGCCATGAAAAGTGAGTGTATTAGTTCACGTACAGGATGTGAAGAGTTTAAAGTGAGACTTTCTTCGTAATCCATGCAGTTTTATTTCAAATGTTCAGTGAAAACCAGCATATTATTTTACAAGTATACAATTCTCTGATTTCAGATATGTGGTATTTCTACAGATAACCACTACAGTTTAATTGTAATAATAATAAATTGTGACATAACGTCAACAATCACAAATATTAATGAGGATACATTCATGTGAAACATTATAAAAGTTGATGTTTCCTAGGTGTTGGTAAATTACGTTTGTCACATTTTCTTCCTTTTCCTTCCAAAAAAATCTCATGGTATAAAGTCAAAACGTGCACAGGAAGTAGAAAAAAAAAAAAAAAAGAAAATGTTTTTATGTGTTTGTTGGCACTTTGTTTATCACTCCTTATCCTCCCTGTTTTGCTATTCCTCTTACGTTTAATTTCTATGGCGAACTTCAAATTTGGCAACAGTCTGAATGATTTTACGTTTTTGTGTTTTGCAAAGATGTGTGCCAGGACAGAGTGGCATCCTGCTAATATCCATAGTCTTCAATTTTAACTCGCTGGTTTTACATGTTAGAGAATTCCCATAGCTCTATACTGGGAGACATAAAACTGAACGACTTCTGTCTTCATGCATGTGTGTCAGTTTGTGTGTTTGCATCAGTAGAAGGATATACATAGATATGTGAGCACATACTTGTATTGTAGTAGTATTGCAGCCTAGGAGATTATTGTTCAGTGGGTTTTGTGTGTATATGAGAGGTTCTGTGAAGTGTGTGTGTGTGTGTGTGTTAAGAATCAGTAGAAGGATATACATAGATATGTGAGCACGTACTTGCACACAAGCCTGCCAGAAATGTGTATGTATATATTTATTCAGTACAGAGTGTATTCTTTCTCAGAAGGCATAACAATGGAAGTAGTTCCTACTCTTAAGTACTCTTAACTGGGAACCTTTGTGTTCAGCTTCATGCAAGAGTGTGAATGAAATCATATGCTGGCTATGGTGGTATTGGTTTGATGCTGTGTTGTTTGATTGTTGTCTGGAGGGTGAAGATAAATATTTGCTAGCTGGGCAGTTGTCTTGTTGTGGATGTTAAGTTGGAAGAGAATGCAGTGTTTGTTGTGTACCCTTGAAGCTTTTTGGTCATGAATTTTCCAGAAAAAGGAAAAAGAGGTTAGAGCTGAGGTTTGTCGTCTTCTGCTTGCAGTTTTTCCTGCTAAAGTAAAGATGCTACAATACAAAATATCATTTTTGTGAACCAGTTTATAAAGATTTTGTTAGATTTTGCCTGAGTTCTACTATGTTTGCTTGAACGGTATCCAGGTTATTTTGAATGTAGTAGAAACAAGCTGTCAGCAGCACGAAACTAATGGTAAAAGCTATTTGAAGCATAGAATCTGATGAACAGCTTTGTATTTGCAGTAGCTGAAATGTTACCATCCAGACAGCCTCTGTGAATACCTGTCACATAGAAATTTGCTTGTTGTGTCTGGCTGGGGGCCAGTATGTAAATCCACTTCAGTCTAATGGCAAGTTAGTGATAATCTGAAAATTATAGTTGATCATTCAAACGCTCGTATTCGTTGGAATAGAGAATTCTTTTGGGGGGAACTGTGTGCATAAAATAAAAGCGCTTCTTGCCAGCAAGCATAAAGAGTAGTTTACACAATGTGGGAATATAGATACTTGAGACTTCCTTAAAATAAGCAAAGAGATTTGTTGCTGGAAGAGAGGTTCTACTGACTGGAATAGCCCCCCCCCGCCAAAAAAAAAGAAAAAAGCTTTTTTTTCCCTAGTATACTTACGATTCCTTTAGCAGTTTCTGATATAAGCTTCTTTAGATTTTTGAAGTTCCTTCTGGAATTAATAGCTTATGTGCAGTTTTGGGAGTAGGGAATATTAACCTCATCAACATGATTATTTTGCAACTGTTGAATCTTCTGTAGCAACCACAGTGATGCTTCACTTTGGTACAAAGGAAAATATGCATAAGGGAGCAAGCCTGTTATTAATCATCAAATCATAGGCACTTTCACTGTATCTGTGCCACCTTTGTTCCTTTTTTTGCAAAAAGGAAAATGTAATGGTTTCTATTTTTAAACAAAAAGGAAGCTGGGGATTTATAATGTAGGGAAAACAGTAATTTCTTGTCAGTTTTATTGGAAGTATGTCTTTTATGGTCAGAATCATTGCAATTAGGAAAAAAATATTTGTATTCATTTCTACTATGTCTTTGTGCTTAAACTTCTGTTTCAAATATGTGGCAGAAGCCTAGAAGGTTATTGTTCAGTGGGTTTCGTGTGTAGGTGAGAGGTTCTGTGAAGTGTGTGTGTGTGTTAAGATTTTTTTTTTTCCCCTTCTCTCCTTTTCCTTGTATTGAAATGTAAATATGCTGGAAGAAGACTAGCTAATCTGTTTTCTGTACTCTAAATTTTCTTTAGATGTAGGAGTTTCTGGTTTGTTTTGTTTTTGCTCTTTTCCTAATGGCAGAAAACCAGAAAGGAAAAACAGATGTAAGAATTATGGTGTCTACTTAAGATCTTAGTTTTCCCATATTTCCAGTTTTCTTAGTCATTTCATTTTTCTCACCTACCTTCTAAGCTTAGCTTTAGAATTTGTTAAGAATAAACACTAGTATTTAATTAAGTAAACTTCTCTTTTAATTATCTGTATGCTGTTTACTAACAGACCTAATTGTAGTCAGTGATACCTTTCTAATTAGACGATTGTCCAAAGCCTGTGTTTAACTATAGCTTATAACTTCTTAGTTGGATAATGCATTTTAGGCATAGCTGTCTGTGATACAGTTCAGTGATTCTTTTTGCAACTCTTTACAATATTTTTAATCCAAATCAACTTGTTTCTCACTATAATGTTTTGGGGAATTTCTTCACATGTTCTTTTTGTTTTAGTGTTTCTTATTTAAAAAATCATGCCACTTGTTGCTCTTTATTTTTTTTAAGGTAACAGTTTTTGATACGTCGTCTTTTGTTCAGTTGTAAACGAATTTGAGCTCGTGCTTGAAGAGAAGACATTTTGTGCAATTCCTCTAGTTGGTATCTTGTAACACTTGCAACATTGTGTTAGTGCCTTGACTTTATAAGAAATATTTACTTACAGTAAATATAAGTACTGATGATCTTTTAGTGGCTTTGTTTAACATCTGTTACTGCGCTGTCTCATTCTTGTTTGGTTAATGCATGGAACTTTGTTGGGAAGTCAAGGCAAAGCTGTACTGCAGTTTAATTACATATTCTCTGTTTCTGGATTGCACTGATTATTGTTTAATTAAGTGTGTGTAAAGTGCTTCAAGCTACCGTCTAATAAAATAAAGGTAAGCGAAAACCATTTTATCTGCTAAGTGTAAAGGCTGGATGGTCACTAATCCAACCATTATTTCCCGTCCATATATACTGCAGTTCTGTTACAACTGGCAAGTGATGCTTTACCAAATGATATGGCCCTGGCTCTTGCCTATCTACTTGCACTGCCACAGGTATGTTGATACTGATTTTATACGTATGTTTTTCATAGGACTTCAGAATTCCATATGAAAATATAATTTCCTTAGAGTTTTCTTGGAATTCAATTAAAAAATAAATGTTTTGGACAGGTGTGTTTAAAGGTAATTCTGCTTGCACAAATGCTATTGGACTAGGTTACAGACGTGACACTGATGAAGTGACGTTTTTGTCAGTAGGGAACTGACAGTTGCAGTGTAGCTAAGAAATATAAGTAATGACTTTTATGGTATAGAATAAGCCAAGCTATAGTTTGGCATTTTGGTTAGGTGTTTGTGCAAGGAGAGAAAAACGTGTTAGTGTAGAATTATCTTTGTGTCATATGGGAAAGCTGTTGATTTATTTCTGTGCCAGAAAAACATAGTCAGAGTTATTTCTAAATCACAACAAGGAGCTTTTAGAAAGTTTGTGCACTTAACATTGTACACTTGCTAATTCTTTCATCTAAATTAATGCTTTCTTTCTTCTAGGTGGTGGATGCCAACAAATGCTTTGAAAAGCAATTGCATTCTGCAATATCCCTCCAGCTGGCAAGTTATTACTATAGCCTGCAGATCTATGCTCGTTTGGCACCGTGCTTCAAGGACAAGTGCCACCCTCTCTACAGGGTTAGTACTTTTTCTTTTTAAAACCATATTCATTTATGTGCAGCATTAAAGCTATTTAAAAGCCAGTTACATGAGTTAAGCCTGTTAAGGAACTGATCTGACTTGCACTTTGAGCAGCTTGGTAAGTTATGCATAATGTTTCTTCCACAGTGCTGTAAACAGACAAGCACTCAAAAATTCTTGTAGAGTATATTATCTGTTCCTGAATCGCAGTTTCACATACCATTTATACTAGCCAACTTCAGTGTTGCGTATAAACACTGAGCAGTAACACATACATCCTGATCTTGCAATACTGCAATTGATGTGAGGTGATTCTCATTACCCTTTGAGAAGCTAAATTTTATATGTATATATATGTAATTATTTTAAATTTGGTTTAAGTATGTTCTGGATATGACTGGAATGGAGTTGGTTTTCTTCATCACAGCCCTTCTTCACATTGCAGTGCTTTGCATTTGTGGCTAAATGTGTTGATAACAGAGCAGTGTTCTAACTTGCTGAACAGTTCTTACATAGCCTCAAGGCCTCTTCTCTTTATCCCCTCTCTTTCAGATATGGTAGTGAATACTCTGGCAGTGATGGTGGCTAGCTCCTTTAGAACCTTTGGATGCATTTTGTTTTGTCATCTAAGCTTATCCAGCTTAGTTAAGCAGTCCTTAAGTCTTTCCTCTCCCCAGCTTGGCTTCTAGGCCCAGGAATCTGGGATACTTTGACACTGAAAATTGGGGCAAAATACAGTAGAGAGTGGACCCAAAATTTCCAGTGTTATTTTTGCTGCCTGTGTAACTCGTGTAATCCCTTCTTATTATTCCTGGTATCCATTCAGAATTCTGACTTCAGCTAACTTTCTAATTCCAATCCTTTGTCTCTAGGCAATGTTTCATGTTCTTCTATCCTTTCAAAATTACATTTCTGTAATATTCATTCTTCTCTTCCTTTTTTGTATCTCCTTTTCTTTTTTGATCTTAGTTAGCAATTAGTAACAAGTCATTGTGTCTCAGTAAAGCTGCTTCTGCAGCTACTTTCTGTATGTGCATTTTGAGAGTTACCTCTGAATTATTCTGTAATTTTAAGATGATCCAGCTCACCTTCCCCTCTACAGTGATTTTGGAAAGCTGACAGGTAGGATTGTACAGGAGGAAGGCTGCCTTTAAGGGCAATGTCTAATGTCCTGGAGGCCAGCATCTTTATCTTGCTGTTAGCCTTCCTTTATTCCTTTGAAATTCCTCTGTTCTGGTCCCAGCATCAAGGTCTGATATTTAATATCACATTCTGTAGTGGTTTTTCTTCATCTGTACCTGGCACTTTAGAAATCAGAATTGCTTTATTCTGCCTTGTTGTCTTTCCAACAGATTTTAGGGAGAGTTTTCTGTAGGAACCAAGATTCTTGATTTTACAGTTCTCTGAAGGATTTTGTTAATCTTTTCTCTTTCAAGTGTTCTGTAACACTTAATCTACTACAGTGTTTCTTTCTTTTTCTAGATTCCCTCTAATCACGACCCACATGTTTTTCCCTATCAATCTTTCCACAGAAAGGCTCCATGCATTTAAGCAGCTTTATCAAATATAGCTTTATTCTCTGCCTTTTGTGAAGATGCTCTTTCCATCCATTGTAGCACTCCAGTCATTTGACCTGTCTCATGTGTCTCATGATGTCACAGGCTGCATATGAAATTTTGTTTAGCACTCCTCCCTGTCTACTCTTCTGATTCTCTGTTCACTATATCCCACTCATGATGAAAAGTTGTAGAGCTGAGAATGAAATTCACTGGATAATTTAATTTCTGTTAACAGTTGATCTCCTCATTTGTCCTTCCTGATAAGTAATCAGAATACACATGTATGGAGATCTGTTTTCTCTAAAAAGGGATGAAAAAATTTAATTACTCTAAGGTTAACTGATTTATTATGTTCTTATCTCCATGCTAATAATTTAATACTGAAGTGTTTCAGTGGTTTGGGAGTATTTTACTGATTTAGGTGGGAGGCTAGGCTTTTTCTTGGAACATCTAGCAATAGTTCTGACAAGTACTGCTGAATCTCAGAGAGGAAGGAGAATTGTGCAATTAATGGGGAAAGATGAGCTTAGCAGAAAATATTTAAATATTTGTTTTATTCCCTTATCTGTTATTTTCTTTTTTCTTTTTTTTTTTTTTGTTCATTGCAACTAGAAAAATGTCAAGACAGCAACTTCAGTGATTTTTTTTTTAGTGACTCTTTTGAGGTGGATTATAGTTGGTGAAGAAGCTGAGACTTCTGTTCCACAAAGTGAAGTAGTCTGATTTAACTGATTTTTTTTAAAATTATTATTTATTTATTTTTAAGTTGCTTTGTGAAAAAGTGTAATTATAAAATGAATTTGTGCTCCGTATGCTTAACCTGCTTCTCTTTTCTGTTGCTTGCTGGTTAAGGAAGCCTCTATCCATTTCTCTGTAAGAGGCAGAATGAGCTCTGTTTCACCTCACATAAATTCACTATCTGCAAAGTAGTTTTTCTTTGGTTTCATTTTTTTTTGTTTATCTTCCTGTTCATATAACAACCTTTGTGTATTTTAGTTCTCTGCTATTCCTCTTTTTTTTTCTCTTTATTCCCTGTCATTGTCTGACTGTTATTTCTGTATTTATGCTTTCCATGCTGCCCTCAGTGCAGTGACATCTGTAGTCTTTAACTGCACTGAGTGACTGCGACAAATATGTCACTTGTGGCTTATTCTCCTATCATTTCTCATAGAATCATTTCCCATAGGGAAAAAAGAAATGGCATGTGGAGCAGTTTTAGTTGTAGCATGCCGATATGTCTTTACATATTTATCATATACACATTTTTGCATTAATGAAGGCAAGGTCAAAAGGAGAGTGCTTTGAACTTAAAACTGAACACATAGAAGTTTATATTGATCTTATGGGAGTTCATTCTGTGGGCTTGACCTGGCCCCTAGATAGTTCAATCACTTATTTATATAAGATTTATTTTAATTATAGATGCACTTACATTAAGTCAGAGAAGCAGAACTCCCATCCTTATTCTTTATGCTACAATTTTTGATAAGATTCTCAGTGGAGGATATTAAAAACAAAGACCTATTTCAAACTCACTAAATATTGTTTAAGAAGGCTAAATCGTGGAGAGAGAGCAGCAGATCTAATGAGCTGTCAGAACAAGTGTTCATGCACCTTAGCCTGTTTGTTAATGTAATTTCACATTTGTGTTTCTCAAGAACTGAAGGGTGCGTGCCATCTGATCAGAGTTGCATCCTAGCTCATAATTTCCTCAGATGTGGACTTATCCATGAGTTCCCCTTTCACACCTTGTCACCAAGTGATTCTGCTGATTGTGTAGCTGATTTGAATTACTTTTTAGAACTTGTTGCTATCAGCTTAGCCAGTACAAGATAGTTTCAGTTTCTTTTCCTAGCCTTTTTCATTTCCTCCTTGACCTGTCACAATTCATTAGTTTTCTGAATAATATACCAACAAGAATATGTTTTAATAAATAAATAAATCTCACAGTTCACTGAACTCTGTTGCGTTCTAAGGTTTAAAACTTAAGTTCTCCTGAACTAGCAGTTCCTTTTGTATATCTTCTGGTTGTCCCAACAGTTAGTGACACTGCAGAGTGTAACAATTATGTGTATTTGATTGTCATGTGTCTGTTATAGAGAAGTCTGTGTTTTGCATACCCTCGTATTTTTTTTATCTAAACTCACAACACTACAAAGAATCATTATGCTTACATAGGACCAAATAATATGTAGGCCACTCAAAAATTAGTTTTAGTAATAGCTTTTTCCCCTGGTTTTATTTCATCGGGATGAATTGCACTTAATGAGAGAAAGTATTGCGTTATTGCCCATTTTTATTTCGTGAGAGTTATACAAGCTGTGTGCTAAATCCTGCTTCTGAAAGAAGAGAAAATGTTCTTCTCATGCCAGCTATTTAGAAATACTCTTTTAGAAAAGATGGTCTTCAAACTTTGCATTTTGGCAGATGTTTGATGTCCAGCTTGCCTGTGTTCCTCTGGAGACTTATTTATGGATTTTCATGCAAAAAAAGTTAGTTGGGTTAACTGCTGTTTTATTTCTTGCAAATGATTTTGCTTCTCTCTGGCAAAGAATCTAAACGTGACCAATAGCATTTTGAGAAAGCCTTTGAATAGCTGGTTGGCTTTATCTTCTATATTACTTTCTTCTTCAGGTGATGGTATAGTTTTTCGAGTTTGCATTTAAAAAATAGCTTTTTCAAAATGTATTTGATTTTTAAAGGTCTCTTCAGAATTATGAAAAACATCTGAACACAGCTAAAAAGGTGTTTGAGTGAACTAGAGGAGTCAGCATTTTCTACTTTGAATGTGATAATACTTCATTATTTGCAGGTTAATGTAAGCTGTGAACAATTTTAATTTTTGCAAGCAGCCTGATTAAAATTTTCTATGATTTTTTGTTTTAAAACACAAAATAATTAAGCAAAATTTTATTCATAGATGTTATCTGTGTAAGTAACTTTACTGAAGTTACGAACAGCCTTGAATTCTTGAGTAAGAAGTTAGCTTTTCTGTCTCTGTTTTTTTGTTTTATCATCTTTGAGAGTTGAGGATAAATGTTGGTTTTGCCTAAGAAGCATTTTAGGAAAATACCACAGTAAAAGAAGATGGTTGCTGAGAAATTAATTGAGAAAAATGAGTGCTTTGCTCTGCCATGTAGCTCATGCAGTATTTATTTTTCAAGCTTTAAATTAGTAAGATGGAAATATTAGCATGTATACAATCAGAAACTACAAATTAAAAGAATACCGTGCTGTATGTAAGAAACTAAAACAGCATCATGTTGTACTCAAGTTTTACCCTAGGAATGCATTGTTATCCCACGGTCTGTATATTGCTAAAGCTGCTGCCATGTACAGTAAGAGTTAAGGCATGTTCAGAAAGAACATCCATAATGTATTTTATTCTGAAATTGAACACCTTGATTTTTTTTTCCTTTTAGAGAAAAGGGAGATGGA